TTTGGACCTTCTCTTACCGCTCGAATGACATCACCGATCGCTGAGCGTAGGGGACTGTGCCAAATGGTTTCTGAGCGGGGTGCCCCACGTGCTCCCGCATTCCCTGTCACCCGGTTTCTTCCAGCTGTGGACAGAGACTTGAGCAGGGCTGCCTGCCCAGGGCCCTCTGCCGCCTCACGGGGCTCCAAAGCCAACACCATGCCCTGGGGCGTCCCCCCCCCCGGCCCCCGCCCACCCCCGGGGAGACAATGGGGATCTTTGCACACAGGGGAGGTGCTGGGATTGCAAAGGAGACCACAGTCTTTTGGGGCCCACTGTACAGATCAGCAAACTGAGACCAGACTAGGATCGCCAGCTCAGGGTTGTGCCTGCTTGGGTGGGGTGGGGGACCTTGTCCCTCCTGGTTCCAGACAGAAAGAGTGGGGCGGGCTCCTGCCCGGAATGGCAGCTAACACTGAGAATGACAGATGACATCACTGCCCGTGAAAAAGGGGACGGCCACTGCCCTTCACGACATCCTTCCCCAAAGCAGGTGTGAAAGGAGCCTGTGAAATGGAGCGGGAAACTGAGGCTCTAGCACGCACATCCAGGGGCCAGTGCACCTGGCAGCTGCTTGCCAGCTACTGGGAGGGACAAACCGGATATGCCTTCCTATGGGAGCAGGAGCAAGTGCCAGGGACGTTGGTGGACGGGTTGTGGGTCCACGGAACAGCAAACAGCCAGGAACAAGGTCCGCCCCTCTCCCGGCCAGTCCCGCAGGGGGCTCCCCCAAGACAAGGAAAGAGGAAGCGGACAGCTGGGCCACATTGGGCAGCACTCGGGGCATCCTCCTGGCTCTGTGATCACTTCTGGCAGGAATGAGGCAGTGGCGGGGATGGAACCCAAGTCAGTCACATACAAGGCAAGTGCCCTGCCTACAGACAAGTAGTGGATTATGGGCACATGCATAATGGATGCCCGGGGGAGGGGGGACCCCGAGGGGGATGTTGTCAGGGGCCAGGGGCCACGGGACACTCAGGTATGCCAGGGAGAGGGACTTAGTAGCCCCTATGTCTGTACTGCTGAGCAGGAGGGGCCAAGTGTCAGTGTCCGTCTTGCACCTTCTCAGCCTGTGGGCCAGGGATGGCCCAAACCCAGGCTGCCTCTTGGGCTCACCTCCAGTCACTTCTGGGAGCGGGCCTCGGCCTTGTAGTGGGCAGAGCGCCCCTCAGGGGTGCTGGCACCTAGCGGGCCCTTGAGAAGTCTCAGTGGGAACAATTAAAGAGACAAGAGGCCAGAGGAGAGAGGGAAGAGGGGATGAGGCACTTGTGTGCATCAGGCTGATCCGTCTGTCTGATCCTTGGCACTGTGTGGTCCCCTGAGGACCACCTCCAGCGACCTGACACCCCTGAGCACTGCTGGGTGTGGCCCAACTACCCCCCCACCTCTTGCCCCGAATAAACAAAAGCCTGCTCTCCAGCCACTAGCCCCAGAGTCACCAAACTCATACACAAATCTGATTGTCACCAAAGTTGAAATGCCTGAGAAAGCACTCCAGGGAGGGGGAACTTGCTTGTCACCGACACAAAGGCTGCAGTCAGCGGGACCCAACTGGGGGCCCTCCAACAGGGATGGGGGGAGTCCTGGGGGGCCACTCAAGCCAGCAGTTCCCACGTGTCTCTGTGGTGTGACAACTCAATTCAGCAGGGGTGGGGAGGGGCAGGGTGTACATCCGGGATATGTAGCCCAGGTAACTGGGGTCCTTTCCACTTGGGGAGCATCCCTGGTGGGCAGAAGGCCCACAAGAGGTGGGGGGGCAGATGTGCAGAGCCTGGCCCCTCTGCCCTGCGGGGAGAAGGCGCCCCCTGCACCCCCCCACCCCCCTGCAGTGGTTCTGCCCTCCGGAGCTGGCTGCCTGGGAAGGAATGTTTTCCTGTTTCCAATTAACTTCCCCCACCCACAACCCTCTGCGCTCTTGAGACCAGGAGTCAAAGGCAGTTACTCCATGAGAGGCAGGACTGGGGGCAAAAAGGTGCCCCCCTCCCAGAAGCTGAGGGGGGGGCCTCACATCTAGTCCTAAAGCTTCTCCAAGGCCCCAGAGCTGGGGGCAGTCAACCCTGGGCCCTTCCTGGGTCTCTTGGAGGGGGGGTAAGATCCCCACATCCTGAGGGAAGGCTGGGGAGGGCCCCAGAGGCGCCTGGGAAGGAAGTCAGCAGGGATGGGGTGGGGGGGGCCGGGTGCAGGCCCGTTCCCTGCTGCCTGCTTCCCGGACCCAACCCGCAGGAAGCAGCCTGCAGAGACACGAGCATTCCCAGGGGCCACCCCCACCCGGTCCCAGGGTTCAGGTCAGGAAGGAAAACCACTGCTCAGCAATGGGGGTGGGGGAAGATGGCTGCTGGGGGCCTGGGGCTCCCTCAGAACCCAGGTGCCCAGCTCTGCTGACAGACAAGGAACCTCTGGCCCCTGCAAAGAACTGTTTCAGCCCCACTCTCTGGTTCCTCCCAGACTCAGTTTCCCCACCTCTGAAATTCTCTGGACTGCCACCCTCCAGGCCCCACTGACCCCCGCCCCCCCCCCCCCCGCAAGATGTAGTTAGGCCAGGCCAATGCCAAGGGTCAGGACCCTGGTTCAGAAATGGAGGGTGTGTGTGTAGAGGGTCCTGAGTTGGGTTTCATTTGTGGGCTCCCCTCCACCCCAGGGAGTTTCCCCCAGTCCCACTGGAGCCCTCTGCTTCTCTCCTTGAAATGCACAGCAACCCCCTTAGTCCCGGTGAAGGAGATACAAAAAGCAACCTGGACACATTTCACTTTCACTCCCGGAGGAGTTAGGGAGATGGTCCGGTCAGGAAACTCCAAGGTCCCGCCTGTGCCCAAAGAAGGGGTGGGGGCACTCAGGCCAAGGGGAGAAGGGGCAAGAAGCACCCTGCCCGCTTTAGCCAGGATGCAGGGAGCTCCCACTCTTGGATGTCCACTCCCCAATATCCAGGTCTTAGGGATTCCAGGCCCCTGAGCCACACTCCCTCCACAAGAGACAGCCAGCTCTCTGGGAAGCTCCTCAAGCCCTCCCCCTCCCCCCAAAGCCAGCACTGGTGCTGGAGGGCAGCTGAGCGCCTGGGGGCCAACCAAAAACCCAAGACCAAGTCAACCAAAGCCAAAGAGACAATGTGTCAAAGATGGGACAAGAGAGTCCAAGGGTTTCAATCTGAGTCAGAGAAACCTGTACCAACACCTGCTTGGTACTATGTGGGCCTGGGTCAGTCGCTTAACCTCTTAAGCATCCGAGGGCCTTTCTGTCAAGAGACTAGTAACTGTCCCTCCCTCCTCCACTCGTGCCTGGTGGGTAGCAGGCTCAGCAGGAGTCAAATTCTACTGCACCCTGGTAGGGAGACACGATTTCCCACTGCAGGCGCCAGGCTGCTCTGGAGGTGATGGCCCATCAGATGGCAGGCACATGGGAAAGTAGGTGGCTCCTGACCTTCCTTCCGGGTTCACCCTACTTCCCCACCCTCGCTGGAGGTCAGAAGGGACAGGTAAAAAGCATGGGGCACTGATCCTTGACCCCAGGCCTGGGAACCTGGGGGAGTAGGAGGTGTCCCCTACGATTTCCTGCCAAGGGCCTGGGGAAAGGTCTGGGGACACAGATGTAAATACTCCACACCCCCAGGTCTGCTGCCCTCTCAGAGGCCCTGCCGAGTGTCCAGTCCGCCCACGGCCGGCCAGCAGTCCAAGATGTGGGAGTCCCTGAGGGCCTGGACCTGTCACCGCAGACACAGGGCCTCTGACCTGCCCTCCCGGCAAGTTCAGCTGCTCAGAACCACAAAGCAAAACAAAGGGGCGCTCTGGGGAAGGAGCGGGCCTCCCCTGCTCTGTGGCCAGCGCGCTCTGCGCCCCGCTTCTCCGCGGGCCACCACCGGAGCAACGATCGAGCGGGAGAGCAAGGCCTGGGCCGGCCCAACCCGGCAGTGCGGGCCCTGACAGCGCCGGGGCCGGAGCCGGGGACAGCGGGCGCCTCCGTCCCTCGCCTGCCACCTCCATCCTCCTCCGTGCCCGCTGCGGCCCGGCCGGCCCGGCCCAGCCCAACCCGGCCGGCCCGGGGAGAGCGTTGCCTTTGTCTAAAGGTCACCACCCGAACGCCGTGCCCGGGCCGGGCCGGGCCTGCCGCCTCCCGAGCCGGGGCCCAGCGGGGGTGGCGATGGGGGGTCGCCCCAAAGCTCGGGAGGTGACAGTGGAGGGGGGACGACACCCGCTCGACTCCCTCCTCCCCCCCGCCCCCCGCCTCCTAACGGCCCCCACCGGGACCAGCCGGCAAGCGGGGAGGGGGTCACCCCCGTTCACGGCTGGGGTGGGGAGGGAGCCAAGTCAACTCCTTTCATTGTTTCGGGGCCGTGGGGAGGGGGCGCCCCGGCGGCCACCGGCGGCACCCACCCCGCGCCCCGGGTCGCCGGGAGGGAGGCCCAGTCCCTCCGCGGCCGGCCGAGACAGGGCCCGGGACCACCCTCCGCTGCCCGCCGCTGCCCTCTCCTTCCCCGAAAGGCGGGGAGCCGGCGCGGGGAGGGGGTCTCCTCCCCTCCCCCCGTGGAACGTTCGGCGGCGTGTCCCGGCCGCTCCATTGTATGTGTCCCCCGGTCGCGGCGGGAGGGCCGGGAGGCACCGGGCGCCGGGTCCGGGCAGCCGCGCCGGTGCGGGGAGTGGTCCCCCCTTCGGATCGGGGCGGCGGAGCCGGTGGGAGAGACGCCGAGGTTTGGGGGTGGGGTGGGGGGGCGCCGCCGCCGGGGGGTGGTGGGCACCGACCACGGGGGGATAAAAAAAAAAGAGGAGGCAGCGGGCGCTGCGCCCCGGCTGGGGGGCTGAGAGAGTGAGTGTGGGGGGGTGGGTTCGGCCCCGGCTCCGGCTCCCCCCGCACACACCCTCGCCGCCAGCCCCCACTCCCCCCCTCGCTTTTGCGCCCTGTCACAGCCCCGACTCGCAGGTAGAGAGAGTTAAGAGATTTAAAGAGAAATTGCTACATTGTGAGAAACTCACCCTGATGTTTGAGCAGCCGTCGGCGCGGGGTCTCCGAGACGGCCCCGCACGGGCTGCACAGGGAGGACCCAGAAGGGGCCGACCGGCCGGGCCGGTCAGCGCACTGCCTGATCGCATGGCGGCCGCCCGGCAGCTCCGCCAGGCCCCTGCCGCCGCCCCGCGCCGCGGCCCGGCCGCCCCGGACCCGCGCCCGCGCCGGGGAGGACCCCTCGGGTGCAGGGGGGAAATTTTTTTTTTTTTAATTAAATGCCAAAGAGGAGAAGAAAAAAAAAAAAACAACCCTTGCAGGTTTTGTGTTCCGCCCCCCCCCTTTGCCGCCGCCGCCGCCTCCTCCCTCTTTCCCTCCCTCCGCCCTCGCCGGGGGGACGGGCTTCGCCGAGGCTCTGCCCCGCGCGCACGCCCAGCCAGTCCCGGCGGAGCCTCGCCGAGCGGCGGCCGCGGAAGCCAATGGGAGGCCGCGGAGGCCCCGGGAGGCCTCCGCCCGCCCCGGCCCCGCCCCCGCCCCCGCCCCCGCTCCGGCCCGGGTGGCTGCGGGGCGCGCCTGCCCTGGGCTCGGCCGCGCTAGTCGTACGACGGCCGCGAGCGGGGCGCGGGGTGGCCTGGAGGCCCAAGGCAGCCCGCGTGCCGGCTCCCGGCAGCGGCCTACGGCCCGGCTGGGCAGGGGGGTGGGGCGCTAGCCACCCCCGGGCGCGGCCCCGACGCGGCAGGCCCCCAGCGGGAGGACGCGCCCCGGGCGAGCGCCGCGGGGTCGTTAAAGGTAGCGGGAGAGGAGGAGGGCGAAGGACTTGGGGTAGCCGCAAAGGAACCGGGAGTCGGAGGCAGAAGGGTGGGGAGGAGAGCGATCGGGGCTCTGGGCGATCGCTCAGGCCTGGGCCCGGGGCCTCAACCCCAAGCGGCCTTTGCCCAGCAGGGCCCCGGCCAACGCCGAGGGTTCCGGGGACGCGGGTCCGCCCTGCCTCGGAGCCTCCGGGAGCCCTAGCGGGCGCCGGTTGGGATTTCCAAAAGCTACGAAGCCCCTTTGGCGGGGCTAAGTTTATCTCCGGCCCACCAGGCCGCGAAAGCCCGGTGGGCCGGACATACGCTGAAGATTCATGGGTTTTTCCGGGGATGCTTCTTGCCCAGCGAGGCCTTCAGACAGCCCGAGTCTACCCCTCCCCGGAATTTCTGTTCTGCTCTCTACTGTCGTCTGTCTGTCCCGGGTCCAGAGACAGCTCTGTGCATGCAGAGAAGTGTTCAATAAACGTGTGTTGACCAAGTGAGTGGTGGAAACATGTGGTTTTTATTGTTTGTTGGTAGCTAAGGCCTGGTGCCTGGTTTTGGCCACGGAGCAACATCTCTAACCTTGACATCTGATTCCATTTTTCTCTTCCTCTTTCACTCCAAGTTGTAAGAGGATTGGGGAGGTGAAGGATCCTGATTCCCACCCCTAGTTTACATCTGGTCTCCCCATTTCCTTGCTGTGTGACCTTGGCTAAATGACTTCTCTCTGTGCTTCTGTTCCTTCATGTAGCTGATAATGAGTTTCACTTGAAGGAAATGGGCTCTTTGGAGAGCAGCACCAGATGACTGCTAGTTATTAATATTTTATAATAATTATTAAAAAATAATTATTTTATAATATTAATCAAAGGAAAGTGGGTTCCGGAAGTGAATACAATGTGGGTTACCCCAAGCGTGAAGACATAAATCTGGACTCAAACAGCGTCATTCCCAGTAAGTGTAAGACCCATGAAGGTCTGCAAAGGCACTTTTCTTTTGGGGTGACATTGAGCACATCATGATTCGGAAGGAGGTGGAGTGACAGTGATGTGAACCCCCATCTAGACACTTTTGAGTATACCCCTCTTATACTGTACAAACTTAAGTTGACTCTCAGAAAGGGGAAGTGTTTTGTCCAAAGTCTTAGAACCAGCAAGTGGAACCTGATCTTAGCCAGGTGACTCTTGTGTCTGTCATAAGTCCTAACCCTGGAGAACTCAGCACTTGGGGCTGAGAGAGCAGAACCCTGAGGCTGGGGAGGGGGAGAAGGCAGTCCTACATTTATTCATACAGGAAATGCAGGTGGAGAATGTAGTGTTTGTCAGGGATATAGAACACAGGGAAGAGCATATACATTCCTGTGTTCCTTTGGGGCTCCCATTCTGTTTAGGGACAGAAAGGCAAGGATGCAACCAAGGTGCAGAGCACTGGTCCTTGCAGTGTTCCACCAAGTGGGGAGGTAAAGTCAACAAAAAAATAAAACCCTCCCTCCCTTCATCCAGCCCACGTCTCCCTTGGAATGAATGGTGTGAAGGCATTTCACTGAAGAGCTTGGCTGCAGGACTAGGGCAGTAGTTCAGTGGCTAAGGCACTTGTGTGTGGCCAACCAGGTTTCGATCCCCAGCACCTTATATGGTCCCCTGAGCGATTCCTGAGCACAGCCACGAAAATGGGTCTGTTATTTCAGGGCTGGACAGAGTACAGGGGGGGGCGGGCATTTGCACTTGGCTGACTTGAGTTTGATTCCCAGTGCCCCCACAGGGTCCCCTGAGCCCCGCCAGGAGTAATTCATGACTACAAACCCCCAAGCATCACCAAGTTCTTTTCAGTCTTTATTTCCTTTTATTTTTAAGGCAAAACAGGTTCAGAGAGGGTAAGAAACTAGACAGAGTGGACTGGGGACAGCTTTAGGAATGAGGACCAAAGAAGCACATGATTCTCCCTCAACCGGCAAAAATGCTGCTTGCCCCCTGGTTAGCAAGCTGTTGGTACTGGCCCTTGCTGGCCCAGGCCAATTTGGGCCTTAATTCCATATGGCTCATTGTACTTTCTCTCCTATGGGAGCAGAACACATGTTTCGTGAATGAATGGAGTTCCCACAAAACTAGCTGGGGGTCAAATGGCTTCATCTTACATTCCTGCAACCAAAATACAATGAATTGCCCTCACCCAGATGCAGGACCCCAACAGGAGGTGGGGTTGATTTCCTTAACAAAATGGGAACTCCTTCTTGGAGTACCACAGCACTTCGGAAGAGTGCTATGGAGGCCCCTCCGGTGTTCAGGATGCTTTCGGTTCTGTGCTCTGGTGACCTCTGACCGGCCTGAAGACTACTGAGTGCCAAGGTTCAAACACAGTTGCAACATGCAGTTTGCAGATCAAGGCCTTTGGACCATTTACCTGGCCCCAGAACTATTTCCATGCTACCGCTCTATTCATTCTCCAGCTCTCCCACCCAATCCCAACCACTTTAACCTCCAGAGAACTCTCACTTTTTTTGTTTTTCTTTTTTATTTACGTTTTGGGCCGCACCCAGAGATGCTCAGGAGCATACGGGATCACAGAGATCGACCCCGGGTCGGTTGCATGCAAGGCAAAAGCCCTACCCTCCGTACTATTGCTCTGGCCCCATTACCAAATTTTTCCTTGGGGGAAAAAGAAATTAAAAGTAAACCATTTGTGTCTCTGGAAATCAAAACGCCCTTCAGCAGCTCTTGCCATTGACAGCAGCAAAGTGAGAAGTTTTGCCGACCCCAACTTTGTTTTACTTATTTGAAGGGAGATGGTATTTTCTGTTTTCAGCTGAGCCCTACACTTCTGATGGGAGCATTTTTCTGGTAAGGAGGAACAAAACAAGATAAAGCCTCGCCCAATTCAAAAATGCTCCCTGCGGGCCTCTAGGTTCCCTGTAACCCGCTGGAGGGGAGCAAAATTCCATAGAAGATCCCACAAGGAACCAGATTACAGCCGAAGGCGGGAAAGGAAAGGGGATAATAGCAGGAGCGGATTCCGAACGACCTCCGCCCTCTGACCGCGCCCTTCAGGGCTGCGGGCTTGTGCAGCCCTACTCCCAGCCAGCCAGCCCGGCCCGCCAGCTCAGAAAGCGGAGCGGAACGAGCGCGATCAAATCAGGCAGCTGCGAGCCCAGCCCGGCCTCGGGTCCTCAGAGCAGCAAGTGCGGGGGGCGGGACCTGTCCTCCCATTGGCTCCCGCCTGAGGGCGTGGCCAGAGCCCCGTTCCACCTCTAACCCCCCCGCCGGATTAAATAGGCCCCATGCTGGCCGGGTAAATTATTCATTATGGGGCGGGGCCTCCGTTTGTTTACACGCTTCCATAGGCTGAATTTGAATCGGCCGGACTGCCGGTCGGCCGCGAGGCGGGGCTCCCAAGGGCCCCAGGTCGCGCCTGACAGCTTCGCCCAGGCTGAGCCTGCGCCTGTCGTGCCTCCCGAGAGCAGGCAGCCTGGGGATGGTGGAAGCCTCGGTGGACGCGGGAAGCCCAGGCGAACCGTTGGAGGCTTCCGCCCTGGCCCATTTGTTGATGAACGTTAGCCAGGTCGTGGTAGGGGAGCACTGGTTTTTGTTTTCATAGAAAGACCCAAGAGACAAGCAAATCCGAAAACAATCTAACGGTCCATCAATGAGGTCTCCTTAAAGAAGTTGTCATCGAGTTACTTCTGGGACACGAAGTAAAAATAAAGCCAGTCTGGAATGAACTGCGCAGCCGATCAAAGGGAAAACACCAAGAAATGAAAGGTGTATTAGATAAAAGTGGGTTACAAATTTGTGCTTGTTAAATGTACATAGACATCTTCAAAAGCAAAAAAAAAAATTAGTAAAGACATGGGGGGGGAGGGTGGCAGGATGCACAGATCTTTTGATACTTTTGTAAAGTCTGAATTTTGTATCCTTATTCAATGTACTACAGACCATGCAAATGAAAACATTAGGATCTGAGAACTCTCCCTTTGCATTCACTTGATTGGCTGCTGCGTGCCCCTAGGAAAATTCACGAAAGGGTCTCTAAAGGTCATGCTCGCCGCCACCCCACCCCCACCCCCTATCCGCGCGCGGCGCAGCGCATTCTCCACTTGCCTAGGGACTGAGGGAATCCAAGCTGGGAATGAGTTTCTTTACAGATTCACCCAGACCCAAGTACTTTCATTTGTTGTTTTAAGATAGTCATCACAGCCTTATTTGGGTGTGTTGTGATGTGTTTGTGAGAGCGCTTTTGGGGCTAGCTTGGGGAGGTGGGGTGAGAGGAAAGAAAATTGAGAAGAAACAGTAAAGGGGTCAAAACTAGTACTGGCCCCTTTAAGAAGGGAAACCCAGAGCCATAGAGATAAAACCACTGGGAAGGCGCTTGCCTAGTCACCAGGGCACAACCAAGAGTAATCCCTAGTGCAGAGCCAGGAGAAAATCCCCTGCACCAACAGGTGTGACCCTCTCCACCTAAAAGACAAAAAAAGGGAAAGGGGAACCAGACCGAACCACA